GACATCATTTAGTCGCCCAGAGTGAAGATTTAGTCGCATATGCGAGTGATTTACTCGCAATGTAGAGGGTTGCCATACAATGTATTTTTGGCTATTGCTACAAATATACCCGTGCTACTTATGACTGGTTTTGATGTCCAGGGTCACATATTAGGTTTTCTTTTAAAGAGATAAACTGGTAATTAGTTTGACTAGTGCTGGGCGGTATGACCAAACATTTATATCACGATATTTTTCAAAATTATACCGGTTTCACGGTACATGACGGCATTTTAAGTTCTTAGCAATGCATATTACTAATCAAAAATTAAGTTTTGATTTATTTCAGGTAGGAAATTTACAAAATATCTTCATGGAACATGATATTTTCTTAATATTCTAATGATTTTTGGCATAAAAGAAAAAAAAATTGACCCATACAGCCCTCTACGAACACCTTGGCAATTGAATCGCCATTGGCTAGTAAATTTTTTTAGTTTACTCGCCAGACTAATATTAAATATTTAATATACTATATATATGTATATATATATGTATATATACTGTTTTGTACTCATTTATTGACCAACTAAAAGCGCTACTTCTCTGCCGCTCACTGCACAGAACAGACGCCGAGAGAGGTGACACTTCTCCGGGAAGGTCAGACCTCGCGTTCGCGGGACAGCACTGGTGAAATCTTCCGACTGAACCATAGCTAAGGTTTATCCAAAAAAGTCGCTAGGTTTGTCAGTATGAATATTCTATGGAAAAAAGCCGCTAAAAGGGTCTGAAAGTTGCTAAATCTAGTGCTAAAGTCGCGCTGGTGAGTGTGAGAGACGCGGGAGCTGATGGCAGGGGGCGGTGGATATTTGTGGCGGTCAATGTGGATATTGTGGATGAGTTCTTCTGTGTCATCACGTTCTATTAGTTCTACAGCTTCAGTTTCGGAACTTTCACGCTTAGTAACATACAGCTGTTCCCTCACCACAGTGCAACAGTGAAAAGGGACCCCTTTCAAACAGTGTCGCGTTCCGAACGTTGTTTAAGCGACATACTTAAACAAGTACTTAAACGACATACTTAATAAATTATATTATTTAGTATTGCGGTATTTTAAAAATTCATATCATAACAAAAATAAACACCGTTATTCGGTATGAACCGGTATACCGCCCAGCACTAAGTTTGACTGAAATTTACAAACTGATATTTACAAGCAAAAGCAGGGCTATGAATTATCATTGCATTTAAACAGATTATGCGTTGTTATTAGGCTACTTGTAAAATGTACACATTTTAAATAGTAGTATGCCAAAAATAATAAACAAATAAATATATTCTGCATATCAGCTTTTGGATGCTCCATCATGAAATTATTGGTATTGGTCAGTCTCTGTTATTGCTTCTGTTATATTATTTAGTATCCTGCTGGTTTAAATACTTGAATCCTCTTTGTACCAGCCCAATTTTTTCTAACTTAAACTGAGTGGTGACATAACTAAATAAGTTGTTGCATAACCACATGTCACATCACTGACTGTCAGTCTTAATAGATTTAATTTTAACAGCGATTTGAAAATTAGTTTGACTGATTTGTGTTTTTCTTTAGCAGTTGCTGATATCGATATCTAAAGCAGGGTGGCTGATAAAATGCCAATGTGAATCAATTTAATGATAACAAATTAGTTGTAAACAACCTTATTAAAGTGAATGTGCATTTTACAAAACATTTACTTAATATTCACAGAGAAAAAAATTAATAAATACAAATTATTCAATGACTTGTTGAAGCTAATATATATAAGCTAAGTAGAATTTGGGAAAAGTGGGAAGATAACCGATTTGGTTAATCAATTTGGTCGATCAGTCTGTCACCAGAAGTTATCAATATAATTTGTAGTACAGTCTGGTGAAAATAAAGCATTTGGGCCTTTGCATAATGTGATATATGTTGGTTGGATGATGACAATCTGGCTCCATATTGGTGGAAAAGGGGTAATAGGCTTGTTTGACTATAGGCTCTGACTTTTTTGCATTTTCTTTGTTGATTTTGGGAGAAAATCTGAGGAATTTTGTGACAAGAATTTAAATATAAATTTTTTTAAATGGAACTTAATGTGAAGCATAATCAAATTAGCTAAAGTATTTAAAGTTTAGAACTTGTCAGAAGTTCTTTTTGCTGAAAAATCTATATCAGAGTTTCTGCTGAAATTTCCGCAGAATTCTGTGGGCACAGATTCCATGTGGGCTTGTGTGTGATCACAGCCTGTATACTGAATGGTCATTCCGGGTATCTGCTGGTCGTTCATGCCGATTCAGCTCTTTTGTCATTAGAAGTTGAGGACTGCAGGCATCACATGATCCACATGAGTATTATCTCACTACATTGAACCAAGAAAACCTTTGATTGTACCTTTGGCTAAACTGATCAGTTAATCAGTTTGAACAACAACTGACCTCATGTTTTGGTCCATGGATGGTATTTTAACCATTGGACTTTCTCCTGACCAAACAGAATAGCTTATGTTGTCTTCCAGAGGCAATCCAAGACAAAATGCCAATAGAGACTAATGATTTATAACTTGTTAAGATCCTTTAATAAACTCATTAGAAAGTTGTGTTTCTGGCAGATTGAAGACAATTCCATAAAGTGCCTTGTCTTTAATAATACATAACAGGAGATGTTTACACTGGAGAGTGTAAGTGTCTGTAATTATTTTTGAAGTAGGAACATGATCATTTATTCACGCATCTGGCAGTGGTTATGTTGTCTAATGAGCAATGGAGGCTGGTTGATTGCAAAATATGAATGGTTTGTTTGGTTGCTCTGCAGGCAGGATTTTAAGGCACATATGCATGCTTGTTTTGGCAAAATTTGAATGAAGCATTGTATTTATTTTCAAGTAGAAGAAGCCAATACATTATGCTCAGTGGAAAAAATGAATCTAAGATGGTGTGCACCAAGAAATAATCTTAAATATTATTTATGCAATGCTTGGTTGAAAATGGCCTGTTTTGCTTCAATATTTTTGTGTGCTGTGTTTGTATGTTTTTTATTGCGTTGCATTATTAGCAACATCCTAACTCCATTGTCTATTGAAATCAATTGTGAGTTCTGTCTCTTGTGCGCTTTGCGTGAGAATTGCTGTTTGTGTGACGTGCAGAGTAGCTGTCTATGGAAGTTCACTAGTATTACTTAAAAAATAGCTTCATCACACCAGAAGCTACTTCTGATAAACTGTAGCTGTTTTTCCTTCAGTTTTTAATGGCTATCCTGGGGTTACTGGTGCTA